TGAGGAAGCCAAACTCAAACAAGGAATTAGAGCTCTGTATGAGGAAACCAAATTCAAACATGGGATCAGAGCTCTGTATGAGGAAGCCAAACTCAAACATGGGATCAGAGCTCTGCACGAGGAAGCCAAACTCAAACAAGGAACCAGAGCTCTGTATGAGGAAGCCAAACTCAAACATAGGATCAGAGCTCTGTATGAGGAAGCCAAACTCAAACATGGGATCAGAGCTCTGTATGAGGAAGCCAAACTCAAACATGGGATCAGAGCTCTGTATGAGGAAGCCAAACTCAAACATGGGATCAGAGCTCTGCACGAGAAAGCCAAACTCAAACAAGGAAGCAGAGCTCTGCATGAGGAAGCCAAACTCAAACAAGGAATCAGAGCTCTGTATGAGGAAGCCAAACTCAAACAAGGAATCAGAGCTCTGTATGAGGAAGCCAAACTCAAACAAGGAATCAGAGCTCTGTATGAGGAAGCCAAACTCAAACAAGGAACAAGAGCTCTGCATGAGGAAGCCAAACTCAAACAAGGGATCAGAGCTCTGTATGAGGAAGCCAAACTCAAACAAGGAATCAGAGCTCTGCACGAGGAAGCCAAACTCAAACATGGGATCAGAGCTCTGCATGAGGAAGCCAAACTCAAACATGGGATCAGAGCTCTGCATGAGGAAGCCAAACTCAAACATGGGATCAGAGCTCTGCATGAGGAAGCCAAACTCAAACAAGGAATCAGAGCTCTGTATGAGGAAGCCAAACTCAAACATGGGATCAGAGTTCTGTATGAGAAAGACAAACTCAAACATGGGATCAGAGCTCTGCACGAGGAAGCCAAACTCAAACAAGGAACTAGAGCTCTGCATGAGGAAGCCAAACTCAAACATAGGATCAGAGCTCTGCATGAGGAAGCCAAACTCAAACATGGAATCAGAGCTCTGCATGAGGAAGCCAAACTCAAACATGGAATCAGAGTTCTGCATGAGGAAGATAACTTCCTTAATTGAAAATGATTTCCAAACTTTGAAGTCATATACCCGGTAAATAAATTAAGGAGAAAAACAAAGGAAGTATAGAGTAGTCTGAACTTCAAAGAGCCAAAATTTCCTGAATAACAAAAAATTAATAAATATGAATACGAATACGAAAGCTTTATTTAGATTCGGTTTAGTCATAAACTACAAAACATAAGCTCTAGAGAACTTTTAACCGATTACATACAAACATATACAAAAACATAAACAAAATTTAAAAAGTTGTTGAGTATATGTCCTATACATAATTCACGGTGTAGCTTGTTCCACTTGAGTTTGTACATAACTTCAATCATTGAATCCCTATTTCAATACTGTATGCTCATGTTTATTTATTAAGGTGAATCTGACGCGGTTTTAATTCATGGTCATATCTTATGCATTAAAATATGGAGATGATTATACAGTAGAATATTAAATTTAAGATTTGAAAACTAAAAGTTTTTTTCTTTAGTTGCTTAATTCACGCATCATACTATCCATAGATATAGGAAGAATCCATACAATTGTGAAATTGAATGAGCTAAGACTCTAAAAAAATCAGTACTCCTTCAGTGTCTTGTAGATGGAAGTAAATACTTATGTATCTGAATGGTGCCTAAGCATCATCTTCTTTTTTTGTGGTGGGGGGAGGGTATATTTTATTTTGTTAAATTTTATCATTAATTTATTTCAAAAGACCAAAGTTGTTTTAGAAGGGAAATGAAAAAAAAATATAGTTAGTTTTCATTGAAAATCAAGGGGGTAAAGACGACAGTAAGTTTAAAAACAAGTATCTTGTTCCTATATTTTATTGAAAATATTGATAGTTTGTTTTTGAATAAAAAAATGCGTGTCCCGAGAACCCCCAACTAACACCCAAACACAAATAGACGAATAGTCGGTGTCTTAAATCATTAAGATGTCATCAACAGCTACCGCTCAATACATTCTGTACAATGTTTTTGGTGCAGATTTCTTCAACATTCCTTGTAGATTTCATTATGTCTGTTTGTTTTGTTCACACATTGTTGTCAATGTAATTGAATTTTATGCGACTGTCATACAAGTGAGAGGTTTAGCTAGCTATAAAACTAGGTTTAATCCACCATTTTCTACATAAGAAAATGCCTGTATCAAGTCAGAAATATGATAGTTGTTATCCATTCGTTTGATGTGTTTGAGCTTTTCATTTTGCCATTTGATTAGGGACTTTCCATTTTTTGAATTTTCCTCGGAGTTCGGTAGTTGTTATTTTACTTTTTTCAATTTTCGTGTTTATGAGTGTCGATTTCAATTTCGTGTTTATGAGTGTCTATTTCAATTTCGTGATTATGAGTGTCGATTTCAATTTCGTGTTTATGAGTGTCGATTTCAATTTCGTGTTTATGAGTGTCGATTTCAATTTTCGTGTTTATGAGTGTCGATTTCAATTTCGTGTTTATGAGTGTCGATTTCAATTTTCGTGTTTATGAGTGTCGATTTCAATTTTTGTGTTTATGATAGTTTAAATTTCCTAAGCTTCAGTTTATACATATATGTAAAAAAAATAGTTTGTTGTTCACATAAGGCTGATGAATTTGAACATTGAATGTTATTTTGGGGCATATGTAATTCAATCCAATTAAATTAGATATTATATTACCGTCTCATTTCTCACCAATATATAGCACAACGCTACATTAATTACAATATAAACCAGAGAGCCTTTCTGTGTAGAATTGTAAGAAACTATATAACACTATATTATTACAAAGAACTTGTTTACATACTTTATTTACATTATCAAATCATCTACCTCTATTTGAAATAAACGACGATCTAAGACATGGTTAAGTTGTTTAGAAACATAGAATAGACAATGACATGTTTCGTTATATCGAACAAATCTGAAGTCATCAATTTAAAAATTACCTGGGCTTCATCGTCTGTAAATAATTTACTTATTATATCACAAATGTGATCTCGTCAAAGTCAATTTCCAAATATCGCTGTGTGTATTATACCACATCGGAATTTTGACAAAGTGCTTCAATATGTAAATGGCATTCACATTTACAAAACCATTTAGTTTAGAACTTATATCTAAATAAATTGCATTGCAGATTTTTTTTGGATGGTAAGTTAATTTACTACCTATCAATATATTTACTGGACATTCTATATACATACTACTTACAATTAAGGTAACTATAGGTGTAGTACCACCATTGTTTTTCCTTTTAGTCTTTGTTAAATTTGCACTTTTCAAAAAATTCTGCAGAATTTATCTTTGTTTCAAATAAAGAAAATTTCCCGCTGCATTGAAGACCCATTGGTGGCCTTCGGCTGTTGTCTGCTCTTTGGTCGGGTTGTTGTCTCTTTGACATATTCCCCATTTCCATTATCAATTTTATTGGCATGAGAAAAGTTTTATCCTGTCCAGTACTACAGCAAATGTTCACCCCTTTTTTTTCCTGTGTACAAGCTTTAGTAACCATGAAACCTCAAGTTTCCCAAATTTTCTATAGAAACACCAAATAAAAAAAGATTGGTGCTTTGAAACACCCAAGATATATGTTTTTTTTTACTGCAATGTAGATTAATTTCCTACAACTGTCAAGTTCAAGGGAATATTTTTTTCGACCCTTTTTCGTATGCAACCGGACTATGATTTGGTGATATTACACCTAAAGTCAGTACTGTTATACATATTCTATACATTATACTTGAAAGTATTCTCATTACATAGAAGTTCCAAATTTCTACAAACTTGTGGTTTCTGCTCATATCATCTGCTCATTTGAAAATCTTTTAGAACTCCTATTTTTCAAACAGCACAAAAGTATTATAGATATTGTTTACGAAAATAAGAAATGTTCACTAATCATCATTCCATCTTTAATCAATTCATTTGAAACAAGCGGCTGTCAAACTACACCACACCCGGATAAATCGTATAAAATCAGACTTGACCTCGGTAATGAATTTTTATCCAATATTGAAATTTGAAAAGAAATGTTTGAACGGTTCTTAAGTTATTGAAGAAAAGAAGCTGGTACTGACCAATAGCTCGGTTGCCCTTCCGCCTTACTGACCATAACTTATATATAGAAATCAATTGCAACATTAAAATTGTAGTTTCGGATAAGCAGATGTATTATTAAAAGGTGTATGAGTATTTCCACCTAAATTTGTTTCACTCGTTCACAGGATTAAAACCCGAAAACTTTTGAAACCTATTGGAATTTTGCTTTAAGAATACTAGTAGGTTAGCAATTATTTCCCCATATGTTCTTACATGGATGACATTAAAATTCCTTTGATTGTTTAAAACTGCAGTTGAATATAAAATAATGAGATATTTAAATAAAAGATAAAAATTATACATGTTTAAAGTGAAATTTGCTCAGAAGGATTTTTTTCTGTGTAAACGTCCAGTGGCAAATATGTTATGTATATTAAGGACAAACATCAAAGACGTCGTCAATCAAACTTAATTCATAATTCATTTGGCTACTACTGTAAATCCAGCAGTGCTCCCCCATTCAGTCCGTATTTTTCGAGGACTGTTATGCGTAGATCTTCCAGTAAAAAAAATCAAAAATTCTGCACGAACCGCGGAAAATACTTCATGAATATGTATTTGACGCAAAAAAAATTACAGTAACAATATACGCACATACGTGACAATAATTTCGACGCCACTGGATTGTAAATCACTTACAACTCATCAATTCTACAGTCTGAGGGGCAAGGGAGTAAAGTCCCCCTTCCCAAATACTTTTAAACAAAAGAGAACTCTAACTAACTCCTAGCCTTTATAAGAATAAACAATTTTTATTGCTTGCCGCTTTCAAAAGTCCCCCCATTCTTTTCAATCTACTCTTACGCCACTGGTTCTGTAAAATAACGTCTTGGTTATCTCTCTATGAATTTGATAACCGTTGTAACTTAAACCTTTTTATGCATTTAGTAATGGGATTATTTTTGTAGTATGCTATTTTTGTTTTAGAGATCTTACCTTGCATAATCACAGAGAAACAACTATGGAGAAAAAAATGGAAGCCATCAATGAGAAACCTAAAAAATCGAAGATAAAAGAAATTATACTAGAAAACCTATTGATAATATTAATGATTATATCCGTTATAATCGGGGTGTGTCTTGGAGTAGGTCTCAGAGGAATATGGTCACCGGACGAAAAAAGGAAACTTCATTATTTAAGGTTCCCAGGAGATCTTCTGATGAATATGTTGAAAATGATGATAATACCATTGATCGTATCCAGTCTTATATCTTCGCTGGCATTCCTTGACTCCAAGTCATCTGGTAAGATGGGGCTGCGTGCCGTCGTTTATTACCTCACGACGACATTGTGTGCCGTAATAATAGGTATTATTCTGGTAGTAACAATTCGTCCCGGTGAAAGAGGAGGAAAAGACATTGACAAAGGTGGTAGTTCAAAGGACGCTGACGCTTTAGATTCCTTATTTGATCTAATCAGGTGAATACAAACAATTTATTTTCATCTTAATTGTGTTTTCATATCATTGACTCATAATAAACGTGGAAACATTTCAAAACATGTAGAAACTTTTCCTTAGTTTAAACATATTTATTTGAAAAATTTCGCAAAAAGAATTAGATTTAAATTTGTTCAACTTATATCGTCTTTTCCTTAGATACAATATTAATCAATAGAATTTCATTGCATGCAAAGATTCTTTATTCATTACTATTGTCAGACAAAAGACAGTGTGCATCATTCTGTCGCTGGGCAGTGCTTTATAGACGAAGTAATATTAGAATAAAAATGCCGGTTTAATTAATAATTAGAAATAAGCTTTTAAAAATGATTTAATTTGATAAATCTTAAAAGTAGAAGGAAATTTGGAATGATTGTCAATGAGACAACTCTCCGCCATAGAACAAGAGACGATGATGCAAACAATATAGATCATCGTACAACCTTTATTTAGAACCCCCCCTACTTTATGTATGGTAAGCCCTTTTTTAATATTTTACCCTCAATATCAAAAATTGAAACAATTTAAAACAATAACTATCTGCCTGAATAACATTAAACGAAATAAAATTATGAAAGACGGTAATCAACGACAACCAATGGAACAGGCTATAAAGAGAGTTTGTGATCGCCCAAAGTACATAGTGATGTGATCGCCCAACGTACATAGTGATGTGATCGCCCAAAGTACACAGTGATGTGATCGCCCAAAGTACATAGTGATGTGATTTTTAGGAAGTAAGATGCATGTGGATATATTTTATAAAAGGTAATTTTACATTGTAGAAACTGTTTTCCAGACAATCTTATTGAAGCATGCTTTCGAAAGGTAATTATTGTAAATAACAGGAAATACACGTCTTTAAGACAGTAACCAAATAATACGTCATGTTCTGCAAGATGAATTTTTACAAAGCATCTATTCCAAGATTGCTCTGTTGTCCGACGGTCTCTTGAGGGGATTTGTTTGGGACGATATAATGCAGCCAATTCACAATTTAGTCGCCGAAAAGTATGGGAATAAATCTATTGATCATTTGTGCTAAAGGAAGATAGTTGGTGAAAAAAATATTATAAATATTCGTGGAATAAAGAAACGATTGATATATGGTTTATCTGCTTGACAATGGTTTTATTACGATTTCGAGACTTCCAGTATTGCCACAGTTCACAAAAACAGTCGAGTGGATGCCAGAGCAATCGCGGACTTCAAAACACTAACCACATGAATTTAAACAATGGACAAGCATCCACATCATATGACAAACTTCAAAATCGAGTTGAGTCTGAACATGGGTAAATGATTTGTTTGTTTGCTTTTCTTTTCATTCAAAACAAAGTTGTAGTCATATAATCGTGGAATCTATTAGCTGTGTAACATTGCATTGCTTTCAACATTCTGATTTGTTAAACAAAAATAGAATTACTTTTCATCTAAGGAAATAAATCATCTCGTCAATCCAGTAGAAACTTATCAATTTTAAATGGATAACTAAATTTCGAAAGGCTTCTAGTGAACACCGTAGGATTTATAATATCGAAAATTTGATTAAACTCTTGAATTTTTAATTAATTGATATTTTTTTTATTTAATTGATTAAATACCACAAGAGAAAAAGAAAATATTGCAGAAACTTTGTCATATCCAATTTTTTTTTCGAATAGCTTCGTTTTCCTTTCCTTTTTTTTTTTTATCTAAAATAACTTCACATCACTATGAATTTTAAAATATGATTTATTTTAATTTTCTAGCAAACGACCGAAGTATCTGATCATATTATAACCACTGAGCATACTTACATGATGAATGTAACGGGTACTAACTTCACCACAGTGTCACCTAATGATGAAATGGGTAAATATCTTTAAATTTAGAAATTTGACAATCATAAATATATTCTTCTTCATAGACACGGCTGGTAATCTACACACGCAGAACAATCGGTTCTGCAATGAAAACCGTGAGAGGATTTTCCGGTTATGCTTGAGTGGAGTAATTGTCACGGCTTCGAAAGGTATGTACATTTCTAAATCGAAATTTTCTAGTTCAATTGATCATAATATTGAAAATCGGAGAATGCTATGCTGTGGTGAATACTTTAACGAAGAGACATATGTATCATTTACTGTTGTGCATGGAGTAAAACTCCTACAAAATCAGTCGTCCCACGGATAATTGATGAAAAAAGTGACATTTCAATTTTGAGATGGTTCTATTAACAGACCTACAAGTTCAAATTTAGTTTTTAATCTGTTAACAGGATTGAATGTCGTTTTGGGCGGCGTGTACGCTGTCTGAAGTTGATAGACGTCTTAATAAATCTAAAAACTGCCAATTTTCATTATTTCATGCGTGAGGGGATCTGTTCTGATTGAGGACATCGTGAATGCGTGAGGGGAAGTGCAAACATATCTTTATATCGAAAAATGCAACAATCACTACAACGAATCACTACAACGACAAAATTATTTTATATCTCTTACTGTGTGACGTTTACATTCTGACGTCAAACACGCGACTCTACACTAGAGCTGATGTGAACCTTGCCATTCAGTCACAGGCCTTCAAATATTTCAATCCTTTATTGGTTGATTTAAAATACATATATAAGTAAGCAATGAATGTGGTTGTTAAATTTGATAGATACTTTTTTATGCTTCTTTGTTAAATATTTGTTTGTTTTTGTTCTAATTGAGATTGTGACACGGTGATGACTGCTGACCCCTATTTTGACAACTTTACCTATTATGTCTGTTTTGTTCACGCATCGTTGTAAATATAATGGAATTTGATGCGACTGTCATACAAGTGAGAGGTTTAGCGCTATAAAACAAGGTTCAATCCACCATTTTCTACATTTGAAAATATCTGTACCAAGTCAGAAATATGACAGTTGTTGTCCATTCGTTTGATGTGTTTTATCATTTGATTCTGCCATTTGATTAGGGACTTTTTTTAATTTTCCTCGGAGTTCAGTATTTTTGTGATTTTACTTTTTTCAAAGAAAGGCAAGTAACTTGCACAGTTTTATTGAAGTTCATACTAAATATAAATTGACAATGAATATGGAAATGGCTGCAACGTAAATATAAGTGGTTTAGATTTATGATTGACTATAATTGCACTTCCTCTCACGCATTCACGATGTCCTTAATCAGAACCGATCCCCTCACGCATGAAATAATGAAAATTGGCAGTTTCTAGATTAATTACGACGTCTTTCAACTTCAGACAGCGTACACGCCGCCCAAAACGACATTCAATCCCGTTGACAGAAAAAAAACTAAATTTGAACTTGTTGGTCTGTTAATAGAACCATCTCAAAATTGAAATGTCACTTTTTTCATCAATTACTCGTGGGACGATTGATTTTGAAGGAGTTTTACTCCATGCACAACAGTAAATGATACATGTGTCTCTTCGTTAAAGTATTCACCACAGCATAGCATTCTCCGATTTTCAATATTTTGATCAATTGAACTAGAAAATTTCGATTTAGAAATGTACATACCTTTCGAAGCGGTGACAATTACTCCACTCAAGCATAACCGGAAATCCTCTCACGGTTTTCATTGCAGAACCGATTGTTCTGCGTGTGTCGATTACCAGCCGTGATAGAGCTCGATCGTGGCAAGGTGTTGTCAACTTAGATCTTAATTAGGATTGCCAGTTTTCTTGCCGAAGGTCGATGGTTCTTTTCGGATACTCCGGCTTCCTCCACCGATAAAAACTAGCCGCACTCGTGAGTGTTTAAAGTAGCGTTAAACATCATCAATAGAACAATCAATCTTTATTATTCAATAAATTGGTTTATTATTTAATCCGAAATAACGATGACATGTTAACTATGAAGGATCACGTTTAATTGAGAATATAGCACCATACAGTGCATACTACCAACTGGTCCTTATTTTTCTCCGTTTTATTCATTCCTAATTTTCTTACTTTTAGTGGTAAAAATCATAATTATACACTACATTTCTATAAAAGTCATGCCTGGTTTACGCTCGTGTATTTCTTATCATAAAGTATTGATCTTCCAAGTCAAATACTTGTAACCTAAAAGTAGAAATATTGAAATGAAAGTAAATGAGTCTTCTCATATATGGCCTAAACCATGTCGGAAAGAAACAAATATCCTCAAATCAACTAATGTTGTCCAAAACTGATTTACCTTTAGGTACGTACGGACAGTACATGTAATGCAGATTTGAAAATGACATATAATGAACGTTTTTGCAGCAATATTTCATGCGCATATAACATTTGATTCTTAAAGAGTTAAGATATTATAACCAATAAGTCTTTTCTACACGAGTGTATTTTGATTCAAAATATAGTTATTATAGTTATAATGTGTTTTTTCAGTGAAAATGGTCAACTACACTACAACACGAACAGTAGACAAACCCATGGTGAAGAAAGTGGAGGGAATGAACATCCTTGGTCTAGTAGTCTTCTCGATATTTTTTGGCTGTACTTTGTCTAGAATGGGTCCATCAGGAAAACCACTGTCAGATTTCTTCGAATGTATGCACATTGCAACAATGAAGATCGTAACATTAATTATATGGTATGTATTCTTTGATTATGAAGTTTCTTGCAAAACAAACCAAGCATGCATCAATTAAAAATTAACGAACAGTAATACAATAGTATCATTAAAAGCATTTGGTTAAAGATTCAACAACGATTAGTATACGTGTTTTTCATTTACTTACACAGTTCTACTGCATTATTTTTGTATTTAATCTAGCATACTAATTAATGATTAACATAGCAATATATTCGATAATTATCTAGATCTGGTTAGAATAGTTGTTGTTATGAAATGTCATTATTTTTGGTATAATTTTAGTGAGAGGTTTAGCTAGCTATAAAACCAGGTTTAATCTACCGTTTTCTACATAAGGAAACGTCTATACCAAGACAGGAATATGACAGTTGTTTTCCATTCGTTTGATGCGTTTGAGTTTTTGATTTTGCCATTTTTTAAGGGACTTTCCGTTTTGAATTTTCCTTGGAGTTCGGTATTTTTTGTTATTTTACTTTTTAGTAATTCATCCTGTATTTTAAAACCGTGCAGAATTAAAAAAAAAAAGAAAGAAACGCAGTGATATAGTAATACAATCGAAAACCATCCAGTTTTAATTTTTAACAAGACATTTTGAAAATGTAATATTATAGTTCTTTATCTTTAGGCTTATAGCATCATAAACAAGAGTCCCAAATATAACCGACAACACAAAACAGTAATTATTCATTATTAAACATGGCTCATCCGGGTATTGAATTAGAATAATATTTGAATTAAAGACAATTTTAACTATTTCAGGTACTCTCCAGTCGGAATAGTGTTTCTAATCGCTGTCAAATTAATAGAGATGGAGGACATGGGTAAAGTCTTTACGCAGCTTGGCTACTACATGCTAACCGTGTTGTTAGGCCTTGGTATTCATGGTTTTGTTGTTCTTCCTCTCGTATACTTCATAGGCACCAGGAAGAATCCTTTTGTTTTTTGCTACAACATGATCCGGGCGTTGTTAACAGCTTGGGGTACTGCTTCAAGGTAATGACTTATAAATCAATTCATGGTCAACAATTTTAAACTGCAAAAAATCTGGAAGAACTTTTTCAAAGAAAAAAATAACGACTCATTTAACTGACCATTCTCTACAAATGTATAGCTATCTTGAAGATAGAATAAAATTTATAAAAACAATAAAATTTTAGAAAAATGTAAAAAAATACAACAATTTTAAATCATGAGAAAAACATATCGCATTCGAAAGGAGGAGGTATGATAAGAGGCTTTATTTGGCCCTTAAATGAAGGAAAAACATTAAAATCCTCAATTCTGTCAAAATTATGTTCATTCTTTTTATAAATAGGTAATGATAATATAGTCTAGTCACGTATGTGCAAAAATGTAAATGTACGTTGCGGCATTAATATGTCAAAATGGACATGGATGGCAAATAGTCTAATTCACACATAGCTTTTAGGAAGATTTTAGTACAAGCAACAGCTTTATCCCAAAAATGCACTAGCACCAGCATCTTTCTAAAAGCCATTTTATAGCGAAAGAAAATATGTGCAACAAATACGTCTGACAGACTAATGTCTTGTGAAGATCTTAAAGATGTTTTTTTGATGAATTGATATTACTGTTTGATTTTCGAATTCAAGTGGCCAAAAAAAGACTTTGTCATACCTTCTCCATTATCATGTCTATAAATGTCACAAATTTCCACTTGTTCAAAATGTATGTCTTTCAAAGCTCTTCGACTCTTCCTGTTACAATGGAATGCTTGGAAGAAAAGAATAAGATCGATATACGTGTTGCAAAATTTGTTACCCCAATCGGAGCCACCATCAACATGGACGGAACTGCACTCTACGAAGCCGTGGCATCCATTTTTATTGCTCAGTATCTTGGAATTTCATTGAATTTTGGGGAAGTTGTTATCATCAGGTATGTATTTAGACAGGAAGAAGCAAGTAGAAGTAAAATTACAAATGTACTCAGATAGTATTCAAAAAGAAAAAATATTTCAAGCAGCTTTGGTTATTTGCTATCATAACACAAAAGGTGATAATTGCATAATGACTGCAATAAGTCAGCACTTAAATCTTCTAAAACAAACATGGAGTTTTATACAATGGAAAATATAAAATTGTTTTAAAGTGAGAAAAATAAATATTCTATTACGAAATTCTGATTTGTTGTGTAAGACAAACACATTCATCCTTACAAACAATTTTGTAATGGACACCAATGTTATGCCATTGGCGAGGATAAAAAGTCAGTATAGATTTTTCTCTTATGACCAACAGTTAGGTATTTTCTTCTTCATAGTATTCTTATTACTGTTATTATAATTGTATTGTTATACTATTTACTTTGGTGCTTCAGTTTGATTTGTTTCTGTAAATAACATAATATAACCAGCATGTTGTTTTATTCCCAAGTTTGACATCAACAGCTGCTGCAATTGGTGCCGCGGGAATTCCGTCAGCTGGACTTGTCACCATGGCGATTGTTTTGACAGCGGTTGGATTACCAGTGGACGAAGTAACTCTCATAATACCCATAGATTGGTTCTTGTATGTATTTTTTTAAAAACCCTCAGGCATCCACTGTACAACTGACCTTTGTAATTGGAGTCAACACCTGACGGACATGGTCAAATTCTAATGATGTCCAAAACATTAACAAATCAACTGTATACATCTTCAATACATATAAATTTAGCGAAATTACTAATGTGACAATATTGTTTGTTTAAATCACAGAAAAAAAACGAAACGTGACCCTGTCCAAATCCGTCGGGTACTGACTCCAACGATACTGGTCTGTTGTACTTTGTGTACAAATCATACAATAATTTATTATTTGGAAAATGGTTTTGATATCCAAAATTGCAATATATTTTTTTAATTATCAAACTGTGAATCTGTATTTTCATTATGAAACAAAGAGGCGCTGACTGCTCTTTCATTGACGTATACCCCACGTCTCCATTTATTCAGAATTAAGTACTATGAGCTAGCCCTAAATGAGTCCTAGCATTTTGTTTTCAATTGGGCTTTGAACTAGCTTTAAGTAATTTGGATTACTCTAAGATAATTTACTTTTTCTATAAAACTTACTCCGATTTCTTTAATGACACTGAAGAAAGCGAAGGTAATATGAATCAATTTTGTTGCATTCCATATGTATTTCTTGTAAAACAACAGAGAAAAATACACACATTTAAAACTAAAGGAAAAACAAATATAAAAAGTGACACAAAAAAATGTCATGGTATACAATATGACCGATATAAGTTAAAACATTCCTAAGTTAATTGCAAATATTATATCAAGGTGGTAAAAAATTGTTTAATATAATGATTATTTACCTTTAAGGGATAGATTCAGAACAGCCATTAATGTATTGGGTGATGCCTACGGTGCTGGTCTTGTTGCTCACTTATCGCAAGAAGATCTTGCCGAATTAGACAGACAAGCTGCCAAAGGAATAGACATAAATGATGTAGAAATCACAGTAAATGGTGGCAAGTTTCAAGAAAAAAATGGTGGACTTGACAATCCTTCCTTTACGAAAATGTAGTTGAAAAACTCTGTGCCTAAAGCATTCAATGCAAAACTGTTATGCATGTTTACATTTAATTGAGTTCCGAGACAAATTTGAAAAAAAAATGTTAATCGAACCAACTTTCTAAAATACAGTTTGTTCTTTACGCGTTTGTAAACATCTTACGATAAGATATTTTGTAAGATAATAAACGCTTTGGCTATATAATTTCATGGTAACCCGTATTGGACCAAGGAGGGTAACTGTTACTTATATTTTTTACGCATTGTATCTGTATCACAATAAAAATAAAAATAAAGCACAAACTGTGTATAAGGTCTTAAGATTTAGTAAGAAAACATATTTCTTAGAAAAAGCGAAAAGATATCAAAACAAGTTATTATGAAAGTAAAAATATAGAAAGCTAACAGAGTCTTTATGTGAGTGAGTGACTAAGGGAGTCACTATTCGATTCTCTGGGTTGGCAAGGATGTTTTTTTTTTAAGTTTTTGAAAAATAAAAAAAAAATGTGTGTACCAAGAAATAAAAAAAATGTTTTAAATAATGGACGAGAAAAATAAATTGTGAATAGCAAAGAGTGCAAAAATATCATTTTTTTCGGATAAAATCATAAAAAAATACTTTGCGCTTCGCGCGATGATTTTATTACCATTATACTAACACAGGGAAAATCGTATGAATTCTTTAGCACCGTCCCCGGTGTCCCCTGAGCTATAAGCAATCAATCTGACCAAAGTTTTGCCTTCCCTTTGGCCACACTTCCGCACACATTCCTATTGCAGACAACTGATTATTTTAAATTATTTTATATCATTATTTTGATTATATCACTATTATTATACATTGTATTCTTTGTACGTTGATTTAACTGAATAATAATATCTTTGTCATTGCCCCCCTGAGGGACCTTTATTGGAATAAACATATTGTATTGTACTGTAAAGACACTTGCCCTCCATTCCTTTAATCCTGGACCCATCCCTGCAAATTTTAAGAAATTCAAATGCTTCAAAAGTAGATAAGATAACAAACCAAATGTCATAAACAATAAAGTCTCAGTAGTCTTATGGAGCACCATTTGATTATAGTCGGGGCAGGGAATTTCTTCTTTAAAGAAAAAGGTTGCTTTTGAAAAATGAAAAAAAAAGTTTATACCAAGAACTAAAAATAAAAAGAATAATTTTGTTATCGGGTGCAAATCCCTGTCCCCCCTCCCGCGTGGAAGCAAATACTACCTAGTTCATTTCAAATCGTATTTGAGTAAAATATAACAATACAAATTGTCACAAGATGATATTAATTTTTCGAAGTGAAATAATATGTTTAGGATTTAAGAAATAAAAATAAGCTCGTGGATTTGTTTATTTTTTTTAATTATATCAGTGTATTGTATTGTTTTTTATAATCACTTTAGTCACATATATATTAATGTTTAAATAATGTTCCTCACTAAGTAGATCTTAGATGGTTATAACCATTCTTTTTAGACCCGTTTTAGTCACATTGCTCCTTAAGTGTTATTTTTATTTTCTATTTTCAAGTATTTTGTTGCTGTCTGTAAATATTTTTATTGATTTTATCACCATTATACATTTCTTAGACACAGGGACAATCGAATAAATCTTAAGCACCGTCCTCCGGTGTCCCCTGAGCTATAGGAAATCAAACTAACCAAAATTTTGCCTTTCCTTTGGTTGCAATTCCGCACCCAACCCTACTGCAGAGAACTGATTATTTCAAATTATTTTATATTATTATTTTGATGATTACACTATTATTATATATTGTATTCTTTGTACGTTAATGCAACTGAATTATAATAATATCTTTGTTATTGCCCCTCTGAGGGACCTATATAGGAATTAACATATTGTATTGTACTGTAAAGACACATTTCTTGAATTCTGAAACAGGTATGACAATTGTCCTCTTATTTTCAAATTTATAATCGCTTTGTTAAGACTATTTTCGAATTGTTTTTTATTTACCATATACAATAAACAATATACTCTAAAACCCGTTTTACTTATTTTACTACATATAGTGAAATGAAGGATTTTATTTCATGTTTTCTGGACCTGTACTACTTATAAAGGTAACAAGTGTATTGGAAGACAAACGCGTCTAAAAAGATCAAAATGTCCAAAAGAGTATAACAAAAATACCGAACTCCAAGGAAAATTCATAACCGAAAGTCCTTTATCATATGGCAAAATCAAAAGCTCAAACACATCAAACGAATGGAAAACAACTGTCATATTCCTGACTTGGTACAGGCATTTCCTTATGAAGAAAATGATGGATTAAACCTGGTTTAATAGCTAATAGCTAGCTAAACCTCTCACTTGTATGACAGTCGCATAGAATTCCATTATATTGACAACAATGTGTGAGCAAAACAAAAAGACATAATAGGTAAAAATGTCAATACCGAACTCCAATGCAAATTCAAAAAGGGGAAGTCCATAAAAACTGACAAAATCAAACGCTGTCATTCAACGGAACAAGTGAAAATCAACTGCCATATTCCGGACTTTGTACAGGCATTTTCCGAAGAAAATGGTGGATTAAACCTGGTTTTATAGCTGGATAAACTTCCAACTTGTGTGACAGTTGTTTATAGTTCCGTTATATTGACAAAATTGGGTACGCAACTCGATATACTCCACAAATCCAAAATACTAAGATAATAATGATAAGACACCTTTTGCATATCAGTAACATAACATTAGAATTATAAAAAAAAAGATACACATATATGATAAAGAGACAACACAACAAACTTGTGAACTCCTATATTCAATTGATGCTACAGAATGATAAGCATGTTCTAGTAATAAATACATTGACTTGTGCTTATTTTAGCATGAAGTTTGTTGATGCTATTTGTACAAGTTTACATACTGTCATATATGATTTTCGTAGCTGAGTTCCCACCTTTAAACTTAAAAAAAACTGATAAAAATAGATAATATGAAAAAAACTAAGTCAATGTTTAGGACACATAAACACAATGTAATATCTCCCCTATTCCTCAATGTCTATGTTGCACACAGGACATTTCCTGCTGGTATTTGTGTTACAGGGGATGAAGCCAGTCTGTCAACGTTTTCTCTATTGAAATGTCATCTTTGCCAACACTTCCGAGATTTTGCTTCGAAAAACGTTCCCAAAATGCAGAAATTCCCAATCTGATTAAAATTCAGATCCATCGTAACTTGCTTACTCGTCGAAGCTTAGCATACTAGTATTGAAATCAGAGATATATATTTTAATTTATAGATTCAGAAATTCCCTACGGGAAAACACCAAAAAAACCAATCTAGTCAAGAAATAGATTAAAAGTTGCACACGTTATTATGTCAAGGTTAATCACACTGAATGAATAGTAACTGAAATGTTGCTTACCAAACTTCTCCAGATATGATACTTTCAGAGTTCATGCTTCGCAATGAAATACACCAACATTCAATATGATCCAAACATTTAGAAGTGCACAATGTTTGAGTGGTAATTTTGTCGTCTGTTTTTATCAGAATATTGCTTAGTGTAAACTGTAGGACAATTTGTGACCATCAAATCCCTCCATAAAATTGCAAAATTCATGTTTCGCAACGTGAAACACAAGAAATCAATCTCATAATAGAATTAATATGAAGATTTACAACTACATTTTTGTAGTGTGATGTGAAATTTTGGATTTAGTACCAATCCTACGTAAAAGTGTGGAAGATTTGATGTTGACAAACTTTCCATTAAGTAGAAATAGTAGAGTTCAGGCTTAATTTAAAATTAAAAACAAATCAACAAAAAAATCTATCTTATAATAAAAACATATCAGTATAAAACATAGGGAGGTGACATCTGAAGTAAAATCGAATGACTTAAATCATTCTTTAAATAAACTCGATCACGTTGGTCTACAGTAGGTATAGGAATGGCCATTAAGCATACTTTAAAGCGTCATTATGTTCTTCATGTTTGTACATAAGTGACTTTGAAGATGCAATGAAGGTGGAAAAAATATATTTTTACAACTGCATGAAGATATACAAACAGAAATGTAGCAAATTAAATAACAACAAAATTTTGCCTAAACTCAAGTGTTCCTTTTTTAAAATCTAATCGTAATATATTGTCGGCTGATACATCAAGTCTCTTGCTGTACAGGTTTACATGTTGTATTTTGTTCTTGTGCTTGTAATCATGTTTGGTTGTTCCTGTAAAAAATGCACATAGTCAATTATCTCTGATTTTTCTTAAGAAGTTAATCCAATGTGGTAGGTTGGTTTCTGTTTAGATCTAACAAATACTGTTATTTATATCATACAAGTGTTTAGCAATAAATGGTCTTTTATTTCTGCACGAGCTTACCAAAATCGAAAGGGTTGTCATGTTGTATTGGGTTTCCCTTCTTGTTTGCGCATAGCATTCATGTTAAAGAAGGAAGTCGATATTTAATGTACTCAAATCTACGTTTTTCGTGCATTAAATACGTTAATACCTAAATGCGAGCTTTATATATAACTTATGGTCCTACATCCTGTCGATACTTTTATTTTGGCATTGTACAAAGTCATACTTTTCTCATACTATTTATGACATATTAACACTAAATCCGCTAGTGTATATCTATTGATACATTAAAACTGCCTCAACGGTCACTTCGTTTCAGCGGCCACCTGCCTCTAACGGTCACTTTCAGATCCTCCCAAACGTTTTCTCTATTTAATTAAATCGTTTCAGTGGTCACCTGTCTAACGCGGTCAGCGGTCACCTAATTTTCAACTTTTAACAACGGTCATTTTAATGTTTTTAACTACCAAAATTCTTCATGTCGAAAAATATATGTTGTCAATATCGAAGTTAAAATTAAAATCGAAACCCGTTTGCAACCAAGATCGCGCAATGGAAGGTGAATTCGTGAATTCCTCGTGTTCCAACCTTTCAGTTTCCATCGAAAACCGTATCACCGACTTATTTCTCAACGAATATTAACATATAATTCGAATTTGTATTCACATTTTAGCGCCGGAATCCGCCATTTTTTATTTCGCTGCTCGCAAGGACGATAACTCTACCAATTGAAAACACTCAAACAATTTGCCCCGATCCCGGTCAAGGGCAATATCATAATCAGATGTTTTTGGAACCTCGTATTACAGGTCTCCTCTCTTGAGCGGTCACTTTTGAAACTTCCCAAGTGTGATTGCTTAATACAGGTTTGACTGTTTTCTAATTTAGGAAGCAATGGTTTATTCATTTGCTTAAATTTGTTTTGAACTAGCTTACTGTAACTGCGAGTACTCTTAGATATATTGCATTTTGTCTTTTTGTAAGTTATTTTTGTGATTCGTACCAATCTGAGAAGTGAAATCATTTCCAACTGACTTTTACAGTTTGATCTTATGTTGTGCTGTTAATCACACCACTTTCCCATGTAAGAGGGAGGATTGGGCATTGACAAACATGTTTAACTCCACCGCATTCTTTATTTGTCTGTCCCAACTCATGATCTTGTAATTCAGTGTTTTTTCGTTGGTTGCTGTCTCTCATAGTTGTTTTTCGGGATTTAATTTTAACACATATACTGTTTTTTTATATCATACAAGTGATTAGCAATAAATGGTCTTTTATTTCTGCACGGGCTTACCAAAATCGAAAGGGTTGTCATGTTGTATTGGGTTTCCCTTCTTGTTTGCGCATAGCATTCATGTTAAAGAAGGAAGTCGATATTTAATGTACTCAAATCTACGTTTTTCGTGCATTAAATACGTTAATACCTAAATGCGAGCTTTATATATAACTTATGGTCCTACATTCTGTCGATACATTGACAAACATGTTTAACTCCACCGCATTCTTTATTTGTCTGTCCCAACTCATGATCTTGTAATTCAGTGTTTTCGTTGGTTGCTGTCTCTCATAGTTGTTTCTCGTGATTTAATCTTAACACAACTCAGGTAATTGGTTTTCTTTTTTGAATCGTTGGGGCCTTTTATAGCTTACGTCACGGTACGAGTTTTTCTCATTGTTTACAGTAGTACGTTGACCTATATCTGCTTACTTCAATGTCGTTTGGTCTTTGGTGTATATGTATATATATACGCCTAAAAAGTGTAGAAAACAACACAAAAATTAAAAAAAGGAAAAAACCAATAAAAGTATCAATAAATATTTCTGACATCTTTAATCGGTATGATGTATAATGAATCTTTAAAATATATGCTCATTTTCATAAAACAATTTTGAATCATTGAAAATCAGCATAGATTGATTAGATTCATTTTACATAATATTGGTGAAGGATATCTGTTATCTGAAATATTTATTGATTTTTGTTTTTACTTTTCTCTTTTTGAATTTTTATATTTGTCAAAATACTACAGAACTAAAAGGACACTCATAAAGATAAGATTTCTTTTTTGCAAACATTACGTACAAAACTATATCTTAATACTGCTCTTTTTGTGTATTCATTAACCTTCGAATTTTTTTTTATGTTGATCAAATATTGCCATGTATAGGTCAGGAAACTGTGTCAATAGATACATAAGAGTATTATTAATTATGGCAAAAAGTTTGACTAATATTTGTTCAGCTGTGTTTGCAAGAAATGAATTAAAAAATTACAACTCAAATTTCTCTCAAATTAAGTACAAGTAATTAAAAAAAAATCCCTTATACGTGTGAGGAATAACTAATAATATATATGTATAGCTCTTCACGTTTTCAAGTGCTTAAAATCATTGGCTTTCAAATTTTTGGCGTTGAGTGTTCCTGATGAACGCAAATCCAGAAAAAAATAGATTTGGACGCAACTCATTCATTAAGCGTCAAGAAGCGACAAGAAGAAAAAAATTAGCGACAAGAAGACAAATCTAGCGACAAGAAAGTTTTTATACTATTTAAGGTGTATCATCGGTATACATTTCCTCAGATATAATTTTCTGATACTTTGCCAAAATGTAGATTTTATCATGCATTTTTCAAAAATATAATGTAAAGTATTGGTC